AACAGGGCAGTTATAGCAGTTATGGCTGCTCTCAGAGGCTCTGCTTCTCAGTGTCTGAGCTATAGCTGCATGCCCCTCTGAGAGAAAGCTGGCCTTGAGTTCCGACCAATGCCAGACAGTCCCGCTTTTCCCGTATGAGTCTGGGTCCCCAGAGACTCTCCCAGAATTGGAGCTCAGAGCCTGAGACTCCTTCCCAATTGAAAACGACAACCGCGCCCTCAGCTGCCAGCCCTCTCCGCATGTACCTCCGCATCTTAGTATTTTACTTCCGCACTGCGCCTCCTCTGAGTCTCAGTGTGCTTTTCTCTTTCCTTCTAGGTGTGGAATTTCCACTCAGCTAGCCTTCCTGTGGTTCTGGATGATGTCCGTTCCATGTTTTAGTAGTATTTTGAAGTGGTTGGTTCGAGGCAGCAAACTCCGGTGTTCACCTACGCCGCCATCTTGGTTTCTCCTTCTGCCAGTCTTCTGGAGCGGTACCCAGCAACCTTGTCCATACCTTGATTTGTATATATAATCTTTTGTGAAGTCCATAATCTTCCTGTCACTTTTCTGTGTGTAGTTAGAGCATGGTGTGCATGTTCATGCGACATTGTGCCGGCTATTTACAGCCACTGCCCTTCAAGAAGGTGAGTCTGCTGATAAATATTCATCCTGACAGTTTTCTGGAAATTATGGAAAAGTTCTCATAGCTCAAATACAACATTAGGGGATAAAGATGCTCCTTTACTGCTCTTCTGCCTGGAAAAGCATTTTATTGCCTTTTTTTCAGTTTGCATTAAATATATTACAATGCTAGCAAATGAGATTTGATCTGCATTTATAATTCTATTCAACAAACAAAGGTCTTAAACACAGAAAACATGGTGTAGCACCCCATACTTGCTGTGGTAGCCTGTCCCCCATATACAGACATATATGTGCGTACACACACGTTACCACAATGGTAGCTATAAGTCTGGAGTGCATTTTGTTTAAAGGATTGCTCTGCTTTGCAAACTTTAGTTCATTTAAACCCCACAGCAACCCTGCAAGGTGGCATTTTACCTCTGATTGTATAGGTGAGGAAGCGGACGTTTTGATAAATTAAATAAAGTGATAACTTTTCTATAACTAGTGAGTATTGGCACTGGGATTTGAGACTAAAAGCCGACTGGACTTCGGAGCCCACGCCTTCCCCACTGTGCACCTCCAGGCCCTGCTCCCCAGTGGGAGTCTTGCTGGTGGGCTGCGAGGGCAAGGGGAGGCAGCTGCGCCTGGAAGGCAGGGGACATAGTTCAACTTCACACTGTGTCTGTGTGGCCATTCACAGGTATTTCCCTGACAGGCAGCTTTTACTAACGCCTTCAGTACCCAATGGTTCCACTAAGTTCTATGAGTCTTAGAGAGCCAGTGTGCATTCCATGGCGCCCACAGTCATGCCCTTCTAGGAAATGGCAGCTCCGCATAAACAAGGCCAAGACCGAGGACGGAAGTTCTGGTAAAACGCATTCTCGCACAAACTCTTACTGACTTCCTGCTCTGAGTGCAAAAAGTTTACATGGATATACAGACCTTACATGGTTTTTGCAATTATTTGCAATGTAGTTTTGCAAAATATATTTTTCTGCATTGCATTCACTAAGAGTAGAATTTTGACAATTTTCATGCCAACTTTTACTTTTCTCTTGGTCAAAATGAAGACATTTATAGATTAGATAAATAAATAGGATATTTATTTATATATTGATAAATATATTTATAAATTAGATATTTATAATTGTAAAATATATAAATGTAACCCACATTTCCAAAACTGAGAAGCTGCTTTAATATGTTGTTATGACTGTACCATGAAATGCTTCATAGAGAATGATGTATCAATAATATACTCATATTGTCTCTAAAACAAAATCAATAAACAGATATATTGTATAGTTTCATTTCTGTGAGGAATAAGAGTATATTTTCAATTTAAGAGAAAGGTCCTCCCAGCAGTTATATCTCTGGTTGGTGACATTACATAAGATTTTTATTTTCTTCTGTGTGCTTTTCTCTTTTCTTGAATAAAACTTGCTTTCAGATTAGATTTAATAAAAAATAAATATTGAACATAAATGCAAGCCTCAATTCTTATTGTCAAATTCACTTCAAGAAAGTAGAAAGGAGATAGTGTGTCTATAAAAAAAAATCCCATCACGGGAATACGCGCGGGGCAACGGTAATAAGTGCTGTTGAATGCCAATACTCACACTGGCACATGCAGGAATTCAGTTGTTCCTGTCTGTGGGAAAAGGCAATAGTATTTTTGAAAAGTTTCATGTCATTAAGGTCATCTGTTTTTATAAAATTATATAGGTGGGAATTATGTTCCCTTATACATATAAAGCATCGTGGAGAGAGCTTTGGAAGCCTTTAAAATCAGTTGCGGAGACCTGGGTTCAAATACCGGCTCAGTCCTTTTATAGGTCTGCGAACTTGGGCAAACCACTTAATACCCCGTTCCAAACTGTAACATGAGGAAAATGAGGCCAATGCGTGATTGGACCCACTGGCTCACACAGGACTTGGCAGCTATTCCTGCTTTTGTGATGATTACTTTTGGACTTCATCCCTTAGCTGTGGGAACAACACTGTCCCACATTAAATCAGAAGGACCTATGGGCAGACATTGATTGCATGGTGCCACGGACAGCCACGAAGCGGAACCTGCCCTATTCGCATTCTATGGAAACGGATTCTTTTAGTCATTTGGTAAATGTCTGGTGAATGAGAGCTGCACTTTAGCTCAGCAACAGAGGCAAGGAGGTTAGACTTAGTTACTTCCTTCATGGAGCTCAGAGTCAGGTGGTGGAGACAAGTGAGTAACCAGGCAGCTGTCATCCTATGCCAACTGCTAGGAGTTTTGGAAGCACAGAATATAGGCACACCTGGGCACATCACAGACTGCAGATGCCCATCATTTACCTGGTACTCTACGGGCACAGAGCTTCCACAGGGCACCATCCTGTGCCCCACCCAGAGCCAGACTTGGGGAGGACGGAGGTGGAGTCAGAGCGGGTCTCCAGTGGGTGCGATGATCTACTTGAGTCTTAAAGAATGAGGAGACCAATGAGTGAAGACAGCGGGGAAGGACATGCCGGGGGCAGGAAGGAGCCGGTGTTTGAACGCAGTGCAGGCTGGGAGTGTGGTCTGCCCTCTTCAGGGCCCTCAGAGAGCTCAGTGTGACCGCAGGCAGGCGGCCGGAGGGAGAGCGTGCGGACACTAGTTAGCACTGACAGGCCCACCATGCAGTGGCAAACGATTTGGAAGGGTTTTAATAAAATAGAACTGATTAAGGTACATGACAAAAAAAGAACCATAGTATTTACCTTTTTATTTAGCCATTTGTACTTTAGAAAAGAAGATGGTTAAATACAGTTTATTTTTGAATCAATTGTCTAGTATTTATCAGATAGGATGTAATACTACTTAGTGTCATTGGTAGAAAAATAATTAAATGTCCTCACTTTGGGGCAATATTTAAAAAAATATATATTTTTATTGGTTTCAGCGAGGAAGGGAGAACCAGAGAGAAATAGAAACATCAATGATGAGAGAGAATCATTGATCGGCTGCCTCCTGCATGCCCCACACTGGGGATGGAGCCCACAACCCGGCACCGTAGCCTTGACCAGAATCGAACCTGGGACCCTTCAGTCCGCAGACCAACACTCTATCCACCGAGCCAAAAACGGTTAGAGGAGGGCAATTTAATTGGAGACTTAACGTGACCTTCAATGAAACTATTGGTCACTGCTCTCTTCTGCTGTATATTTTTTGTGGCGAAAGAGTAAATAATGCTCTCAAATACCACTTTCAATCATGCCGTTTCAATCCCTAATATTCAAGCTGATTAATTAATAACTTAATGTTATACATGTCCCCAAATTCATTGCAGGACTAGATCAAAGAAGTCCATATGCTTGGGACGATTTTAAGCCCCCAAAGCAAAGCCCACATCAATTTTTTTTTTATCCTCTCCTGAGGCTATTTCTTCCCACTGTTTTCTGAGAGAGTCCAAGGGAGGCAGGAGGGAGAGAGAGAAACTTGAAAGTGACTTCAGGTGCATGGATGATGCTCTAACCCACTGAGCCACAGCTCTGGCCTCAACTGTTTCTTTCATGAGCCAGTCCATGCAAAGGGTGAAATGCAAGGACAAGTCGGGAGATGCATGTGATGGGGTCCGCTGGGCACTTGAAAGGCTCTGACCGCTGCGTTGGCTTCAAAGGACACGGAAGGCCTGGGAGATGCTTCCCTGCGTCCCCTCCATTGCCCCACCAGGTCAGGGACTCCCTCCCAAGAAGGCTCCTGGGAAAAGACTCCCTGATTGCTCTCTCACAAGGCAGCGTATTGGGGTGCAATCCCTGCTAGCTGCGGGCTCTGCTCTGGATGTGGGGGTGCGGCCCCAGTCAGGCCAGGGCTCAGGTCCACTCCTCAGGAACCTTCTCCCCTGCCCGGGGAGGCGGGCGGCCAGGGCAGCCATGGAGGGAGGCCCTGAATCCGGGCCGCAGAGAGAAGCTGGGGAGCCCGGAGGAGGGGCCACATGTCCGCAGGATCAGGGGGCTCCCGCACTGGCTGTGACAGGCTGGGGCCTCCTGGGCCCTGGGGAAGGCGCCTAAGCGCCCGCAGAGCCCGAGGCAGGCAGGGCAGGTGTGGCGCGGGGACCAGGTCTGGAACAGGCTCCTGTTGCAGGGCCAGCGGGTGCCCAGCACCTGCCCCACAGCTGGAGGCCCAGGTGCTGGAGAGTCAGGAAGGGCGTGGCCAGTGCTGAGGCCCCGCCCCCTGCCCTTTGACCTCTCCTCCCGCGCTGGCCTGGCACGTGCACAGTGTCCAGTCTCCGTTGACGTTTCCATGGAGACATCAGAGCTCCTGGCCCATGTTGGCTCAGTGCGTGCGAGAGCCCCAGCGGAGGAGGAAGCGAAGGAGCAGCGCTCCAGGTCTCCACTCTGACCTCGGCTCGCTTGGCGCACAACCTGCTCTCCATGGGCAATTTGCTTTCCAGGTTTCTTGCTTTAACCCGCGGCCGCCGCCGCCGGGCCTTGCCTGGTGCCCGCCGCCCGGTGGCTTTCCGGGTGCGCAGGGGGGATGCCCCGCCTGGCCGCGCCCACCCCGCGGCTCCTGCACCTGCCCTGGGCCCTGGGCACCGGGTCCTCCCCTGGGGTCCTGCACCTGCCCTGGGCCCTGGTTACCGGGTCCTCCCCTGGGGTCCTGCACCTGCCCTGGGCCCTGGTTACCGGGTCCTCCCCCGGGGTCCTGCACCTGCCCTGGGCTCTGGTTACCGGGTCCGCACCCGGGGTCCTGCACCTGCCCTGGGCTCTGGTTACCGGGTCTGCACCCGGGGTCCTGCACCTGCCCTGGGCTCTGGTTACCGGGTCTGCACCCGGGGTCCTGCACCTGCCCTGGGACCTGGTTACCGGGTCCTCCCCCGGGGTCCTGCACCTGCCCTGGGCCCTGGGTTCGGGCTCTTACCCCGGGGCCCTGCACCAGCAGCAGCTGGCTGTCTCACAGCGGTGGGAAGGCCGTGTCCTCTCCCCGAGACCGGAGGCTTCCCTCTGAGGCTCCGCCCCTCCGTGGGGTGGGAGGACCCCCCAGAGAAGCCCCGGCTGTGTTTCCGTTATCCCAGGACGGTCTACATCCCTCCTCCCAGGGGCAGACTTGATCTCCCCAGGAAGGAAGTCCAGGTTATGAAGCCAAAACCAGCCAGGACCATCCCACTTCCTCCTCCGAAGGACATGGAGGTGAAGGTCCAAGAAAGGTCCCCAAAAGGGAGGCCAGAGAACCAAGACCATCAGGTACAGAACAAGGGACAGCGTGACCAGGACAGCCCCTACCGCCGTGGGGGCCCCCCACTGACATGGAGGGCCCCAGAGCCCACGGGGGTCCTCCCTGCCGGCAAGAGCGGTCCTGGGCCTGTGGGCCTCCATGCCCAGCACCCACAGGGCAGCGTGAGTGGGAGCACCCCGCTGTCTCCCAGGAGCTGCTCCTCCAAAGTCGGGGTGGTCGCAGGCTCAGGCAGCCCTGAGGGAGGTGCCCTGCCTGCTCTGCAGCCAAACCCAACCCCCTTTGGCTTCCTGCAGCCACAGAGCCCCGCAGAGAGAGTGCTGCGGGGAGACCCCCCGCCCAGCGTCCCAGTGTCACCACCTTTGCGTGAGGAGGTGGAGGCTCCAAAGCCATCCAGCAGCCATCCTCCACCCGCCTCTGCCCCCAGGAAGTTCCGCAAGAGAACCATGCCCCTGCCCCTCCAGCTCCCGCTGCCCCCACTGCGGTGGGATCGAGGGCAGCTGCCCCCGCCTCCTAAGCTGCCCTGCCTTGCAGGTGCCTTCATCCTGGGCGCTGACCCAGAGGCCAGGGCGGGCTGCAGTGCCACTCAGTCTGCCCCTTCTCCCTCCCCTCCTGGCTCAGCCATGGCAGACACCCTGCCCCTGGCCACTCACCCTGGCCAGGTCCCTGCTCCCATCACAGCCGGGGCACCTCATGGTCTCACCTCTCAGCCGCCCTTGCATGATGTGGACAGTGAAATGGACACCACTCCCCCTTGCTATGCTCGCACTTACCCTGAGTCCACTGTGAGGATCCGGACAATTTACCAATCCAGTGATGGGCAAAGGGACCCTCCAGGCGCCCCACCGGCTGACAAGCACTAAAGGACTGCTGCCCTCCTCAGACCATCCCATTGGCCCCACCCATCCCTCAGCCCACCTGAGGGACTCCTGCAGGTCCCAGAAGGGACCCTCTTCCCCCAGTGCTTCTGTTAGCGCCCAACTTCACACTATGGCTTTGGCGTTGCCACCGAGATGCTAGACACAGGGAGCAGCAGCTCAGTTTGCCGGTTCCTCGGCAGGCCGTCCTGTGGTTATGGTCCTGCGGCTCCCATGGATGGTGCCAGCTCTGGGGTCAGTATGTCCACCCCAGGCCGCACTCAGCCACAGTAGCCGGAGCATCCGCGTTAGAGGTGGACTGAGGAAGGCACACAGCCCTGCTTCTGCGTCTCCCTTTGGCCATAAGACCAGGGACCCACCTGGCCGCAGCCTGGCCCCTGAGGAGGAGGAGCAGGCATCACCCCAGTGCGTGGATACGCTGCTGGTTCCACCTGCAATCCCACCCCCTGGAGCCTACCTGTCATTACACAGGCGGTGTGGTGACAGGGAGGGCACCAGTCCCCTGACGGAGGCGCTAGTGTTCACTTGCCATCCGTGCACTGTGGCCGACTGGACAAGGAATCTCCTGCACTCCCAACAGCCACCACCATGGAGAATGAAGGTACGTCCGAGGCATGTCTGTGTCCACCTTTCCTCAGGCCACCCAGGCTATCCTGGCCGCATGGCCTCCATGACCCATGCAAGTCCCCCTTGTAGTTGCACTTTCTTTCCAAGCCCCGGGAACCACCTGTGCAGAATGCAGGTGATGCGATGGGAGGGCCCAACATCCCTCCCCTGATGGGAGGACCTGTTACTCCCACTTCCCATCAGAACAACTGGGGCCCACCTGGCCAGCACACAGGTGGTGCCTTCACAGGGAGGTGTCTCACCTGTGATGGGCGGCCACCTTGTCACCGCCTGCCATCAGATCCCTTGCAGCCCAGCTATCCAGTGATGGGGACAGCACACCTGCCAAGGCTGGATAGGCTTATGGGGCCCCATTCATACTGAGCCTTGGGCACCCCTGACCCACACAGCAGTGCTATGGGGGAGAGCACCAGGCATCTCCACAGAGAAATGTGTGCTCTCAGTCAAACACCTGCCTCCATCCCCCAAGGTCAGGTGCCCCTCTCCCTTTGGAGGAGCCAGGACTGTGTGTGGAGGCTCCTGCTCAGAGCAATGGTGCCTGTGCTCGGGCAGGGCAAACGCTAGCTTTGCAGTTGGGGCATCTGCCCAGGGATTCCTAAGAGCCACCAACCAGTTCTATCACAAATCTCAACCAATTAGGACACCTTCCTCCGACAACTGTGTGTAGCCATGGACTTTGCTTCACTGGGAAGAGGCTTCGCCCCTTCAAGTGAAACTTAACCTGCTGGTCCTACATCAAGTCAGAGGGCCACACCGCAGGGGTCTGTGTGCTTGGGGCAGGCGGCCTTTGAGGGGGAGGGACAAGAGCCCAGGTGAGAACTACCTGCAACTGAAATCCCTTCAGCAGCCAATCTGCTCGCCTACCCACTCCTCTGCCCTCCCTGCCTTGTGTCTTCTGTATCAGCACATAGAACAGTGGTTCTCAACCTTGGCTGCACATTTAGAATCACCTGGGAATCTTTTTAAAATCCTGGTTTCTGGGCATCATCCTCCGGAAATTCTGTTTCTTTGTTACTCATGTTGTGGCCCCACCCCATCACAAAGAAACAGAATTTCCGGAGGATGAGGCCCAGAAATCAAAATTTTAAAAAGATTCCCAGGTGATTCTAATGTGCAGCCAAGGTTGAGAACCACTGACATAGAACTTCCTGCTGTGTTTCCAAATAGCCATTCTGTGCTCAGGCTGTTCTCTCCTTCTAGATACCTCTGCCCCGACTTCCTTGCCCACCTTCAATTTGATAATCCTTGCCCATCATTTAAGACTTTTCTCAGGCATCTTGTCATTCAAAAGTCTCCTTTGTCTCTTGTCCCATCTGGACTAGGTGCAACTCTTTTATGTCCTTGGAATCCTCCTGCACATCTCTGCCCTCATACTTATCAGATTGTATTATAATTCACAGTGGATACCTCTTGGGTTCTCCCTAGAACATGAGGTCTTTGATGATGGATGATGTTCATTCATCTCTGAATCTTTTGCAACAGATGTATCTTCTATGTCACACTAGGCACTTCATGAAATGGTTGATGCCTGTATGAACAAATGAATAAATGAAAGCTTCATCCTTTGGAATCAAGTTTTTTTGTTTTGTTTTTTTTTAAAGTATATTTTATTGATTTTTTACAGAGAGGAAGGGAGAGGGATAGAGAGCTAGAAACATCGATGAGAGAGAAACATCGACTAGCTGCCTCCTACACACCTCCTACTGGGGATGGGCCCCCAAGAAGGTACATGCCCTTGTCCGGAATTGAACGTGGGACCCTTCAGTCCGAAGGCTGACGCTCTATACAAGGAGCCAACCTGGTTTGGCTGGAATCAAGTTTTGATGGGATCAGAGATTCCCAGAGCTTTTTCTTTTTTAAATATATTTTTTATTGATTTCATAGAAGAAGGGAGAGGGAGAGAGAAGTAGAAACATCAATGATGAGAGAGAATCACTGATTGGCTGCCTCCTGCACGCCCCCACCAGGAATTGACCCCCCAACCTGGGCATGTGCCCTGACTGAGAATTGAACTGTTACCTCCTGGGACACCTACTGAGCCACGCCATTGGCCGGGCCCGTATCTTTTTCTCAGTCCTTGCATGTGAGCAGTAGCACGCACGGAGGAGATCTGATTTAAGAAACAATCCCCTCATAAGTCTGTACAGAAAGGAGGAACTGCAGGTTCTATACAGGCATTAAACCAGAGTCTTTGGTCATATAGGCAGCATGCTCTTTAACCAAAGCAATGAAACAATACTGGAGAAATGTTATCACAAGTCCCATCACAAGTAGGAAGATATGGGTGATACCTGTGTCTCAGGCGTCACCTCTGAATGTCTGATCCTTTTATCAAATAGGAAACAGAGCCCAGAGTCAGGCCCCAAGTCAATAACAGTGTGTGGGCAGGAATCTGGGGGCATGCGCGATGGCGGTGCTCCGGTCAGAAACCCGCATTACCTACTGTGCCAGTGCTTCCTTCTGTGGGAGCCTGGCTGCTCAGTTATGGAGAAGAGGAAAGGTGAGGAGCACAGGGAGGTCACGGGGACTCTAAGGCACTGTCAGAGCTCTGCTAGGACAGTTTCCTGTCCTCAGACCCAGGAGTCACTGCCAGGGCCTTTTGTTCTGTATCGGCGACATGATCGCTGATAGCCAGCCTGCAGCCACCAAGTGAAGAAATCTCCTCTGCTTCTCTCTCGTCGTTCCACAGGTAGTTTCCTGCCTTTCAGTGTGGCTACTTCACAGCAAAAACTACAGAAACGTCCTGCAGTTCATCAGCCTGCATTGCCTTCAGTCTGAACCCTGACTCTTCAATCACAGCGGACTCATTTGGAATCACACACATTTAAAGGTCATGACAATCATCACAGATTTACCTAAAGCCCTTTCTTCCTTTTTTGAAGGGGTGGCTTGTCATGTGGTAGGCGGAGTCCTTCATGGTTTCTGCCGCTTGATCAATTTCATATGTGGGTTTCTGATATGATTACCAAATATTTGATACCAGGGTGCTATCTACAAACGGTCCAGTGACATAAGGTTATGAGAGTGGTGCGTGGTTTCAGGTAGGGGTGCCATGAAGTCAGCACAGAGCAGTGTTGGTTAGAGGACTATTCATTCTGTGGAACAAGTGAGTGGGCATTCACTTCACTCTAAGCCATAATCTTTATAGAAAGCCCTGTTTGGCTTTTCTTAACAATCAAACCTGGTAGGTCTTATGACCATATAAAGTGGGTCGGGGGGCGTGAAAGGGATAGTTCAAGGATGTGCTGGTGATTACGTTTTTATGAATAAGACTCTGAGCAGATGGAAATGAAACCACATCCTTTAATGGAAGGGAGGAGAGAAGGTCTGAGGGAATCTGCACTATCACCTGCACACCTGCTATGTGGAAGCTGGGCGGCCTGAGACGGACTTTCTGTTGATTTAGATGAGTGTGATGGCTCAGGAAAGCTGTGCTGACCTCTGCACCTGGTGTGGTTGCTCTGTGACTGTACAGCCAGGGAGCATGGGGGAGTGTCCCCCACTAGCCAAGTTGGCAGGTGGAGATTCTTACACTGAGCATGGAGGATGACTAGAAAGATGAATGGAGAGGGCTCCAGGGCACTAAAAGCTAGAAAGATAACTGGATAGAAAAAAGCCCTCCCCCCTCTCTCCCTGTAGACCCCCAGCATTGAGCAGAAAGGGGTGATGGTCTTTGAGACAGAAGTCCACCATTTCCCCAACTCGTGGCACCTGAATTAACTTCTTTCCCTTTTGCAGCAGTACTTGTCTCAGGAGGCTGGCTGTCACTGGGTCAGGCAGCTGAACCTGCATTTTGGTTTCAGTTCGATAGGCCTCTTTTTATAGTGTCTCATAGTTAAACCCAGAACCTAAATCCATCCGTAGCTATTCTATAAATTGTTTCAAAGATGTTTTCATTTTTCCTAATTTTGAAAATATTTTCATGTAATGGATTAGCTATAATATAAAATTAAGCTTTTGCGAGGTAATTTATGAAACTAACTGCTTACTCTTTCATTTTTTTTTTGCGGGGGGGAACACTACATAAAAAAAATTGGAGAAAGAAATATGCAGCATGTCATAGCACCAAACAATCACCTATCAACATTGATGAAGATCTCACACAAGTAAATGCGAATCAGAAGAAACTTCAATCCCAGAGCTGGGATCAAACAGCTTTGGGAAACGCGTTCATTCATGACACTTGTTGGAAAACAGGTAAAGTGTGTGCATTTGGTTTGGGTCTTTAATAGGTTTGTTGGGCATAAAGTGCGGTTCGATTAGTTTCATTTGTTTTTTATTTGTACTGTGAACTGGACAGAAACTTGGTGCAAAGGAAACCAAAGAGAATACAGAAAACTGGAAGTTTAGACCACATTTTAAAAATGTGCACAAAAAATGAAATGATTACAGTTGTAACGTCATGTTCCCGAATGATATAACAATAATGATACCTCCACTAGAAGATGTGATAAATATAATGTCATACATAGTTAATGTAATCTAATCATTCCATCACTTGTTAATCACTTACTCAAACAGCATTTGCATTTCTTGAATAGTGCTTTGATCTGGTCTGTATTCAGTAATTGGATATAAAAAAAAGCAATGGGCTATAATTAAATTTTAAAAAAAGAGAGTACTAGCCATTGAATATAAAGTTTAAAATTCCTATATATGTAGAATCCTTAGAAAGCATTCTCCAAGTGTTTTGACTTGAGACAATGTTTCAAAAAACATACAAAATACAATACCATAAAAAAATCTAATAAATGATAAATAAAATAGTGTTTAAAAATGAACAGCTTTGTTTTTCTAATATATTTTAAAGGAAATTATCTGTATATCAATAAGTCAGGTAAAAACAAATGTACTCATGGGGGAAAGATTAGAAAACATATTCAAAATTATAATACTAGCTATGTTGAGGTGGTTTATTATTAGTGAATATTACTCTATTTTCCATATTGGGTAATATAGTTATTTGAATGGAGCAATTTAGGTTTAAATCCCATTAGGGTAGGAATTTTCCTACATCACTGATTGATACATATTAAATACCCACAAAAATGTGTTGAATGAAAACTTAGGACATTTATTTCATTATAATGTCTTCATTAGATTCATAAAAGTAGATTGTCCCAATCTTGACATTTCCTGCCCTGGTTTTGTCCGCTGTTACCAGGCAGCGAGGCATGTCCTCCGGGCAGTTCTCCGTGGAAGGAGGTCAGCCCTTGGCCTGCAGAGGCTCACCTCTGAGCTCAGTGCTGCCTGATGCCCTGCAGTGGGGCCTCCAGCAGGTTACTCTCTGTGACTCAGTCTCCCCATCTGAGCAGTAGGTGTAATGACGTCTCCTTCCTAGGACTGTGTGAGGACCGAATGTTTCCTACATGTAAATCTCTTAGTGGACTGCATGCCACATTGTAAGGGACAGATACATGTTGACCCTATTGTCAGTGTGTTGTTGAGGTTGTTATTTTTATTATTAGTGGACGTTTCTACCTCTAGTTGTCTGGCCAGTATGTTGTTTTCAACCTCTAATGCCCACAGTGGTTTCTGCCTCGTGCCACAAAACCCGTGTAAGTCTGCTTGAGAGAGATTAAAATCTTGCATTAGGCTCTCAAGGGAATCATTAATCTCCGGATGAGTCTTGAAATACAGATAATATCTGCCTCGGTACTCAAAGGAGGAGAATTGAAGACTCTGAAAGTTGTCTCTCAGGGTTCAAACAGGAGAGAGCTAAAGCCCTTCAGAATGGGTGTCCGCCTGCCTTGCCGCAGCCTGGGGCAGAGGGTCTGAGCTCATGGAGCCTGGGGTGAAGGGTGGAGGGATGAGGTGGGGACGGGAGCAGATGCCTGATAGAGATGAGCTGGGAGTGAGGAGGTGGGAGCACTCCCAGGAGAGGGCTTTTCTTCTCTCCACTCGGTCCTTCTCCTTCACGCTGTCCCCTCACTGGCATCACAGGCCTTCGGGAAGCAGAGCTCTGGGGGGACCAGACGACAGGGCAGGGGCGCTGGCCAGCTGGCTGTCTTCTGCTGTGATGGCCCCCGCGTCTAAGGTCTGCGGGTCACTTCACATTTGTGGCAGGAAGGTACATTGCGCTATTGTGCAGCCACAATGTCAGCTTCCAAAATGACAACTTATTTTTAAAAATTTATCAAATAAATGATTTTCTTCACGTGCCTTTAAGGAAAGGAAATTTAGTTGAAATCGGTAATTCTGAGTTTTAGAAATCTAGATGCGATTTTATTGCCTGCGTGTGTTTTCAGTGGAAATTAATTTCACTAATGATTACCGTCTCGGTGCAGGAGTTTCAGAAATGGTGTCCAAGGCAACAGGAAAACTGTCCCTGGAGAAAGTGAACTTGGTCATCGAATGGACCAGAACTTTGTTTAGAAGGACAAAACTCCACTTAAGATAAGTCACTGGTTACTACTTCATTTTATAAAGCACTGAGCTTTCATTTAGCATATAATTTTATTCTATTGTTATCACGTGTTGTAATTTCTACAGTTCTATTTGGTTTACTTTTTAATATCTGCCTTTCTCACGTGACTAAGCTCAGTAGCACTCAAATTTCATTTTCCACTTACTGGTAACTGAGAATGCACACTACACATGATCAAGAAACGTTGATGAGAAAATGAATGAATGATTTTTTTTTTCCATATCCCCGTAGGAAGAAAGGGGGCAGGATTTTAGCAATATACTAGCGAATGAAAGAAATACAATATAAAATGAAGAAAATTTCAGCTTCAACTTTTAAAAATAAATATAATAAAGAATGAGTGTGGGATGAAATAAACACTTTCAAAGATGTCTGGAGAGAGTATGAGTTGTAGACTTTCTGGGAAACAGTTTGCTTGTTTTTATCAAAAACTTTAAATATTTCATTCTCAGTTCTCACCATTTTAATCTGTAGCAATTTAGTCTAAAACATAATTAAAGACATGCTCAAAAAATGGGAAAAGATTCATTTACACTAATATTAAGTTCAAACAAAAGGAAATGATTAGATACATTATGAAATATTACATATCTTGTAAAAATAATGTTTTTGAATGATTTACATCAAATGGTTCAACATTAGACATTAATGCTTTTAAATTTTTAAAGATATGAATGGTTTAAAAAGTATGACATAGTATACATGGTATCATCATTTCAACTTTCTAAAAGGAATTAGAGGCTGAGAGTACAGAACTGAGTCAAATGAACCAGGTTTGAGTACTGACTCTGCCATTTAGTTGTGAGTTAAAGAGATGACATTATACAAATTATTTAACCTACCGAAGTTTTTATTTTTTCCTGTAAAATTGACATAATATTATTAGCACCTGCTTATGAAGTTGTTAGGAGGATTAAATGAGAGAATGCATTATTACTAATATAAAAGTAATTGAGGGAAATCAAGAAAACATTGTGATTTCTCTCTTTGTGATGGCATACAAGTGACTTTCTCCTTTAAAATTCCCATATTTTCTAAATCACCTATAATGATAGTATTCTTTTATGATTCAAAATAGATATTGATAATAAAATAGAGTCCTATTAAAGGACTCAAATTTTTTTAATGTGAGTGAGCACATTCATATTTATAACTTACAATTTCTTTTTTAATTATTCTATGTATTCTTAAAGAAAACTCATTTATCAAGTTTTGTTTGTCAAGGAAATAAACATCAGTTCATTAAGCACATAACATTCCCACTTCTGAGAGTTTAGCTCTCTCACAATGTCACTAATTTAGAACAAAGATGAATATCAAGAAAAACTCTGACAATAACATAAGCCCTGAGCCAGCAAAGTAAATGGTGGAGAATCTGCACTAAGCCTCGTATATTTTCTTATTTAAAAGGCCCTCAGTCTTCTCTCAGTGCCATGGTCTGTCTGTCCTTTGTCTGTGTGAATTCTCTTCCTGTCATTGTGCGAGCAGGGGCCTGAGGGGCACCCTCCACTTGCTCCTCTTTTCTGGCCTTCCGCCTGCCACAGTCACGTTTCCCCAGGCTGTCCCTAGATGGTGTGGGAGGTCAGAGGGAAATTCAAACCACCTCTGTGTCTTAGTGGCTTATTGAATGTTTCTGAACTGGTCTCCTCCTACTAGTCTTCATCTCTTTCATGTCACCCCCTTGCCCCCACCCCGCCCCCCTTTATAACCTTTAGCTGAAATGCACCAAGACTTGCCATTGCTCTGGAGACCCAACTGCAGGCAGGGGCTGCCTCCCTGACCTTCCTGTGTGGTCCCCGAATGCTTCTCCAGCTGCATCTCTCCTCGCTGTCACGTATGCTCAGCTGAAATCACAGCACACAGTCCTTCCCGTTGCCCACATTTCTCATATTTGCTTGCCTATTGGCCTTTCCCAAGACGGACCTCTGACTTGAACACACACTCGGCCCTTCTCCTTTCCACCTGTGAGCTTTCAGCTGCTCATCCTTTGGGGCTCAGCGTAGACACCTTCTTGGAGAGGCTTTGCTGATCACCCAAGGCAGGAGCCCCTGATGCCATCCTCTGCTTCACACCCGCTGTTCCTCGGATCACAGCCCTGACTGCACAGTCTTCTCAGAGGCTGCCTGCTCTTCCCTTGATTATACTAGTTACTCCTACACTAGCTGAGCCTCTTCCTTTCCAAGCACCACGTGAGGAGCACCCATTATAAGTGAGAGTAAAAGCCGTTACTGACAGATACACCGACCAACGTAGAAATGAACAAGCTGGAGAGGAGACAACATAAGGAACTGAAAAGTCTTGGTACCTTTTGTATAGAAGCAAAGTCCTTGAAAGTTTTATTAATAGAGTTCAAGTCCATGTCCAAAAACAGTATCTCAGAGAGAGGCATGTCAAGTCAAATAGAATGAAACTATATTTGAAATACCAGCAAAATAGTTGAAATAACATTTAATCATTTATTACATTTGATAATTGCTTTAGTAAACTATCATGACTTCAGGGTCACCTGGTAATCTCAAAGTGGTCATTTCTGTTCTAGGTGTGTCTACCGTGTTTCCTTCCTCATTGCAGGATGATAAATGATAGTAAATGCAGTTGTGTATACATGTAATTGATAAAATGTTCTTAAAATATGCAGTATATAGAATTATACAATTTGAAGTATTCTGCAGATAGAATTGATTGAACTGGTAAATTACTTTACAGTTTTTGCCGACTTTGCGCAGCCTTTGTATGTAATAAAACCAACATTGTCACATTGATAGACGCAAATCTCCTGCTTCGATGTGGACCAATGTTCAAGGTTTAAGGAAGCGGTTAAAGGAAACGGGAAGATTAGAGCTTTACCCATTGCATTTGAGGTAATCATTACAAACAAATTAAACACCAACTTCATTCTTCTTTAATCACACGAAGTATTGATGTGAAATATCGAAACAAGCTTTGGAACAAATAGAAGAGCTCACAAGGAGAATGGTCACTGCTGGTCGTTTTCAAAGAGAACAAGCCCTTGGCTGGGAAGCAGGAAGGGACTCTTGCATTTGTTTGCTGGCCCTTCTGTGTGCGCCCATCTGCCCATTGCATCTGCCGGTCGTCATAATGACACAGCACTGACTGTGCATCGTGACATTCAAATGTTCTTTTCTCGGTGGGAAATTTAAAAATGTAATAAGTGACCATTTGGAGGGCATTACTTTTAAATGATTAAAGTGGAAATCCCTAATCTTTACATTTCATTGAACACTTAATTGAATATTTTATCCAATTTTTAAAATGTCATTCTTCTTTCACAGGTTGGAATAGAAGGAAATTTGGATTACAAAGCTATTATTGATGGAGTCGGGAAAGGTAGTCGCCTTGGTAAGCAAGCTATTTGTAGAAACGTCCTTCCAGATTTGGATGCATGTGAGTTGTTACAAAATTACAAAAACCAGCTGTTCCAAAAGCAGAAAGGAGCAATCTCTCACTTTTCACACTTGATGATTGACACATTGCCCACTAAAGAACAACTTATCCGTCATTTTTGTCTATAATCCATATATTAGCACTACGTGTCCCAACTGCTACTAGGCACTATATAAAGGCCTGTTCTATGTAGGTTCCTCCTGAAAGGCAGGAGTAAGAGTTATTAAGAACATTTTTTTGCTAAATACACCCAAATATTTTCATCCCTTCTGGATTGAATTAGTTGTCGTTTAGCAAGACCAACAGTGGTCAGTGGTCAGGAGCCCTATTACAGTGAATGCTGCCTTCAGAAGACGACCTCAAGGCGTTCCCTGGGTTCACTCACCCATTCTTCCCTCTGGGGCCCTCTTCCCGCTGGTGTGATGGAGCCAGTGCTTCACACTGAATGGAATGAAGACACTGACCCCTAATGTTCTTCAGTTGAACAGTGTTGTGTAGTTTGAAGTCTCATAAAACATTGCTGAGTATCAACAATTAGGGGGAAAGATGGTTTTGAATCAAAATATAAATTTGGACTATCCTTAGCCCAAGCAATTCCAATTCATTGAAAGTTTTTCAACATATTAGTTGAACAAATTCAAAAGGAGTGATATAAAAACTTGTCTAATGCAGACAAAATATGTAGCCAGTATAAGCACTCTAAAACACCACTGGCCTTTTATTTTATCAGCACAACCTCAAAGGGTGTGCACAAGATCTATTGGTAGTAGATGATAGTGTGGGGAGCACAGTCTATACGACTGTGATAAGTATATATGTGCCTGGTGCGTACCTGAAATTGAGGGGACGCTTTGCAGTACAGCTGAAACTCACACAAAATGATACTGAATGTAAACTAATTGAAAATAAAATGAGACATAACATGAGGGATGGGGGGAGTATTCAAATTAAAAGGAAAATAAAGAGACATAAAGCAACAACTGTGTACTTAACAGATGTGTATGTTGTCTAAAATCTAAGAAAGATTATTTGTAATGAATACATTTTACATCTACCCCACGGTGAGTAAAATCAGAAATATATGGGAGCCCTGGAGGAAGGCCTGGCAATGGCACATTCTCGGCTTCTCGGTGTGACTGTGACCAACATCCCGTCTCCTGGGACTCAGTCCAGCAGCAGCAATGGGGAACAGTCAGCATGCTGCTCACAGTCCTCTCCATTCCACCCTTTAGGTCCCCTTGGAACATGAGCTTCCTCAGTCCTGTGTTCCAAACCAGCAGGGAGTGTCCGTGGCAACGCATGAAAGAGGCCTCTCCACAGCTTTCTGAGGACGGTCCTTGGGTTTGTAAGACGGTGGCAGGAGCAGTGGCGTGTGTTCCTGTTCAGTCATCGCAATCACACTGCCAATAGGTGGTAATTTTTTTCAATATTTTACATGCACAGTCATGTTATTTGAAAATTGTGATGTTATCATTTATTCCCATCGACTCTTTTTTCCTTTATCTGGCTTTATTGCAGTGTATACTCTCCAGGGCCATCCACGTTGCACAAAAGTAAGATTTCTTTCTTTTTAATGGCCACATAGTATTCCATTGTGTAAATGTACGGCACTACAGCGTCTTTATCCACTCTTCTATTGATGGGCACTTGGACTGCTTCCAGATCTTGGCCATCTATACTAATAATAGAGGAATGTGCAAATTGTCCTGGATGCCTTCACAGCAATGGTAATGACCAATCAGCAGGTTGTGTGGGACGACCAGGCTGGCAGGGAGGTTAGTGAGGGACGACCAAATGACTGAACAGCAGGCTGCGTGGGGCGACCAGGCCAGCTGGGGGGTTAGTGAGGGACGACCAAATGACTGAACAGCAGGCTGCGTGGGGCGACCAGGTTGGTGGGGGTGGCATGAGGGTCCACCGGGCTGGCGGGGGAGGAGGGTTGGTAGGTGAAGGCAACCAGGCTGGCAGGGGGTGCAGTAAGGGGCAACCAGGCTGGCGGGGCGTGGGGGCCAATGAGGGGTGACCAGGCCAGAGGAGAGGCAGTTGGGGGTTTCCTGGCTGGTGAGGGGTGGCAGTTAGGGGCGATCAGGCTGGCAGGCAGAGGCAGTTACGGGTGATCAGCTTGGCAGGGGGGCAGTTAGGGGAGATCAGGAAGGCTGGCCCGTAAGCAGTTAGAAACCAGCAGTCCCAGATTGTGAGAGGGATGTCTGACTGCCAGTTTAGGCCCGATCCCCGGGATTGGTCTAAACTGGCAGTCGAACATCCCCCGAGGGGTCCTGGATTGGAGTGGGTGCAGGCTGGGTTGAGGGGATCCCCCCATGGACCGATTTTGTACACCGGGCGTCCAGTTGTAAATAACACTGCAATGTACATAGGGTGTACATATTCTTTTGAAGTAGTGTTTCAGCGTTCTTATGATCTATGCCAGCCGTGGGCAAACTACGGCGTGCGGGCCGGATCCGGCCCGTTTGAAATGAATAAAACTAAAAAAACCCCAAAAAACCGTACCCTTTTATGTAATGATGTTTACTTTGAATTGATATTAGTTCACACAAACACTCCATCCATGCTTTTGTTCTGGCCCTCCGGTCCAGTTTAAGAACCCATTGGGGCCCTCGAGTCAAAAAGTTTGCCCACCCCTGATATGCCCAGAAATGGAATCGCTGGATCAAAAGCCAGTTCCATTTTTAACTTGTTGAGGAAACTCCATGCTATTTTCTACAGTGGCTGCAGGAGTCTGGAGGATGGAAATAGAGGTTGCTTGGGGCGATGACTCAAGGTGCAGTGAGCAGGTGATGTTTCATTGAATTGTATGCTTGAATGCTGTACGGGTTCGCAAACCAATGTCATCCCAATAAATCCAATTAATGAAGAAAAAAGAAATAGAAAATTAGCACTTATAGACCTGTATATAACATGATTATTTTTCTAGTAAATCATTGTTGTTGGATTTTATAAAAGTACTAGTGGCCTAGTGCATGAATTCGTGCACATTGAAAGGAAATTAATTAGGAGAAATATTTTAATATTGCTACTTCCCCTTTATCAATAATAGCAGTTTCAACCAAATTCATGATAGACAATGACCGATAGAAACACATGCATTTAATTGGCTCCAGAGAGCTCTATATGTATTGCGCATGCGCGAGTCAACTTAGCCTTTTATAGACATAGAATAAACTTGTTTAGTTAGACCTACTTTCTGATTTAGCTAAACATTTTTCCAGCCCAGTGAAGCACCCCAACTTCTCTTTCAGGTAATTGTCAGCAACACAGCAGTAAATATCAACAGGAAGCAGATTATGATTGTAGATCATGCAGGGAGAACGAAGGTTAAAATATTTAACTGCATTAGTGTTTGACTATATTCTGTGCAGTGAGAAAGTCTGAAGTCCTTTTCCAGGTCCTTCATTTGTTACTATTTTTCAGTGGGGTCAAGTTTCTAAGCTTTCTAAATCTCCATTTTCTGGTTAATGAAAAGAGAATAGAATTCCACCAAGCCTCCTACCTACCTATTCCAGGACTTCTGTGAGGATCAAATGAAATGTTCACAGGAAAACGCTTCACAGGCATTTGGTTAAAGTGTGAAATGTTTGCACCTGGCTATAAAGCAAGTCTTGTTCCTGGGCTAAGAAACTCCAACAAGGCTAGTTGGTAGGGAGAGGAAGCTGGGCGTGGCCACTCGATGTCATTACGTGGAGCCCACAGCAACCGTTTCCAGCTGGGTTTGCCTCTGGGTCGCATTCTGTGCCATGGGGTTTTGGCAGCACTGGCTGTGATTTGGTGGGGTGTCACTCTGGGGTGGTGGTGAGGCCTGTGTCCCACTTGGGGGAAGCTGAGTGTGGGTGTGTCAGGGCCGGGTCCGCGCTGCTGACCAGTGCACATCAGGGCAGCTCCTACATTGTGTGTCTGCCTCCTGGTGGTCAGTGAGTGTACAACGACTGGTCGGATGGCAGGAGGGACACTTAGCATATCAGCCTTTCATAAGTATATAGACTAGAGGCCCGGTGCATGAAATTCATACCTGTGGGGGTGGGGGCGTCCCTCAGCCTAGCCTGCACCCTCTCCAAACAGAACCCCTCTGGGGTTCTCCGACTGCCGGTTTAGGCCCGATCCGTTTGGCCCAATCACCAGGATCGGGTCTAAACCAGCAGTCGGACATCCCTATCACAATCTGGGACCGCTGGCTCCTAACTGCTCACCTGCCTGGCTGCCTGGGTGGCCCCAACTGCCCCACCCCACCAGCCTGGTGGCCCCCAACTATCCACCCCCCGCCCCCTCGTCACAAGCCTAGTCACCCCTGACTGACCCCCCTGCTGGCCTGGTCGCCTCTAACTTCCCCCCTGGTGGCCTGGCCGCTGTTTTTGCCGATCCACTGGCACAGTCGCCACCAACTGGCTCCTCACTGGCCTGGTCACCCCCAACTGGACCCCTGCTAGCCTTGTTGCCCCCAACTCACCCTTTCTGCTGCTGGCTTGGTCACACCCAGCTGCCTCTCCGTCCAGGCTGATCTCCCCACACAGCCTGCTGTTCGGTCATGTGGTCGTCCCTCACTGACCCCCCTGCCGGCCTGGTCGCCCCACGCAGCCTGCTGTTTGGTCATGTGGTCGTCCCTCACTGACCCCCCTGCCGGCCTGGTCGCCCCACGCAGCCTGCTGTTCGGTCATGTGGTCGTCCCTCACTGACCCCCCTGCCGGCCTGGTCGCCCCACGCAGCCTGCTGTTCGGTCATGTGGTCGTCCCTCACTGACCCCCCTGCCGGCCTGGTCGCCCACACGCAGCCTGCTGTCGTCGTGGTCTCCCTCACTGGTCCCCCGGCCGCGGCCCACGCAGCCTGCTGTTCGTCATGTGGTCGTCCTCACTGACCCCTGCCGGCCTGGTCGCCCCACGCAGCCTGCTGTTCGGTCATGTGGTCGTCCCCATGCCCCCCTCCGGCCTGTTCGCCCCGCAGCTGCTGCGTCTGAGGTCTGGACGCCTCCTCTGTCGCCCCACGCAGCCTGCTGTTCGGTCATATGGTCGTCCCTCACGGACCCCCCTGCCGGCCTGGTCGCCCCACGCAGCCTGCTGTTCGGTCATGTGGTCGTCCCTCAATGTACCCCCCTGCCGGCCTGGTCGCCCCACGCAGCCTGCTGTTCGGTCATGTGGTCGTCCCTCACTGACCCCCCTGCCGGCCTGGTCGCCCCACGCAGCCTGCTGTTCGGTCATGTGGTCGTCCCTCACTGACCCCCCTGCCGGCCTGGTCGCCCCACACAGCCTGCTGTCCGGTCATCCATCCGGTTGTTATGGTTGTGACGGCCCCGGCCTTTTTATATTCGTTAGGACTGTTCTCTGCAGATTAGAAATTGAAGAGAACAAAACAAACATGTTTCATCACCACAAGGTGTGAACAGCTTGAGAAGCACAGCCATAGAGCACCCCCTGACCCACCTGGGACCCCAGCCTCACCCCCTCTGACCATTTTGTTACTCCAAACATGCTGCTCCCTTTCCCGGGGTTCCCTTCCATAGCACACCCTCCGATTTCAGAAGTTGTCAACCAGCGTCCACAGCAGGCACCCTGGTGGTGCCCAAGAATTCCTAAAACGCCCACCACCTGACTATTTAGTCAGGGCACTGCCCTCTCTTCCCTTAGAAGTTCAAATAAAAACAATCACAGCAGCCAACTCAAAAGTCATCTGGTGTGAATGAATCAAAATTATACCAATGTTTTTGTCTGATCTGCAAAAAATATATGTATATCTGTTGTGCGACAGAACTTTCGTACTTAATTTATGTGCAGCGTGAGATGAAAAAGGTTAGAAATCGCTGTCCTATTCTATTAAACCAGCTGGTTTAAACTGTCCCAACCAGCTGTGGGAAGCCCCCTATTGTCTCCAGTAGCAGAGAGGTGTGGACAAGGAGCCCGGAAGGCTGGGGACCCTTAATGCCCTGGCAAAGGTCAGGGCTGTGCACCCACTGTTAGTTCAGACAATGGCAGCTGAAGCAACTTCCCCATTTCTTATTATGGAATCCTTGCTGATGGGCTAGTCTGCCTGTTCCTGGAAATTGCCTGCCTAAGGGCTCTGGGTGGATCCCAAACCAATAAAAGGTTGGTGAGGCCTGAGCACCAGGGAAGTCCTCCTCCTTGAGTTGGACTTGCCCGCCTGGCCTCCCGATATTTCCAAATTATTATTTCTTGTCTTGTCTCTCTCATTTGCCTGCCGCCCTCTCCCAAATACTGAACCCTGAACCACACAGGATGTGAGGGGAACAAAGAAACATACAACTCTACACACCAGCTTTCTAAATGCTATTCCAGTTTGCAAAATTCCACTCATTTATTCGGTCATGAAATGTTCACAAGAAGCTCACTATAAATTTTATAGAGATTTTTAATGCATAAATATCGTACAGTACTCGATCCCTCTTCCTATGGCTATGTACATTTGCTGGTCAAATGTCATGTCTCCCAGATGACAATTTTTTGGATCATTTGGATGCTAAACCTTATCGTTTATGTTTAAGGTTGGCATCAAAATATACCACCTTCCCTGGCAGGTATAGCTCCATGGTTAGATCTTGACTCCGGGATTGTGTGTGATTCACGGTCAAGAGCACATACCTGGGTTGCA